ATATGTAGTATGAATCGATAGGTCCCAACGACTAGAAAATAAATCTTAGAAGAATTTTCTGAATATTCAGAGTAGAAAAGGACTTCGCATTTCTTGAAATAGACTTTCAAACATGATTTATTATGATGTGTTGATGTAATATATTGAATAGCGTGAAAATGAGGTAATACTTGCAATTTAAGTCCACTGTATACATTATCCACTTATTGTTATTAAAACAAACAGCTAGCACTTAAAGATCCCTATCAGCAATTTAAGATATGCGAAAGAGGAAACACAAAGTATTCATAAAACTAATAGAAGCTAACATTTGAAGTCCATGCTAAATTTCCAAGCCATGATTTAAAGCTTGACCGAGTTGAAGGTTTTCTATAATAATTAAAGGCTATTATACTCATTCATAAGTGTAAGATGAGTATATTGGCTTCGTGCAATGTCTGTCTTGCTGTCTGCATAAATGCAATTCTTTTCGATTCCATTGAAGCTAGAGGCTTGAAATTTTGAGTTATGCTCGGATATACCCTCGAATTATAAGATGTATGAATTTTCACGCCCACTAGGGGCGTGGAAGGTAAGCTGTAGAGTTTTAAAGCTAGAGCGCTGAAATTTTGCATTGGAATTTATTTAACGATTCTATAAAAATCGATTTAAATGTCTACGCACCCTAGGGCGTGGAAAATCAGATCAGAATATATTTTGACTATGGGGACGTGGCATGGAATTTCATATATTTGGATCGTAAACATCCAAGTTTTATAAATGTTACTTTTGGCTTGTTCTAAGAACTAACGAAAATTCATATTTCTACGCCAACTGAAGGGCAAGTTGCGGGCGGAAAAAGCTTTATTCTCTACAGTACTTGTTTGGCCAAAAATTATAATAATAATTATGGGAAAAAGATTGTGAATGGGTATCCCGCAGTCGACATCTGCGATTATAACGTTCTTATTTGTTTTTAAATGCCCGCTTGTGAAAAACACAGATTTTTATGTAGAAAAGTTTCTCTTATAATTGATGTTTGATGGCATTTACACATGTAAGACGAGTGGCGAATTTTTGTGAAATCGAACAAAAGAATAGAATAGAATAGATGCAAAAGAATAGAAGCATTACTACATGTATTGTTAAAATTTTTCATTTTCCAAATTATGAGACAGTTGAATGGCAAAAACAATTGCGTTTTATATACATACATATGTATTTACATACATATACAGACAACTGCCAAATATCCGGACTTCGCTCCGTTGACCGTTACGTTAAAACTCATTTTTGCCCCATCTGCTCCGATAATTGGTAGTAGCTGATGTCATGTGCAGACTACTACAAAACAGTATGAAATTCAAAATATCACCTTGAAACTATTACATAAATTTATATTTACAATTTTTCCCAGTGCATTTGGATAAGACGAAATGCACATGTTTTGGGAGTTTCACTCTTAAGTCGGTGTGGCGGATCATTTGGTAGCACACAGCTTTTGTCAGTCAACAACGTACTGTAAAGTGCTGCACAGTACTCTAAACTGTTAACCCAAATTTAAACATATAACGTACTCTTTGAAAGAAATCTAAGCATTTCTATTGATTGAAGTAAATGATTCAGTCTAAAGGAAGGTCAGCAACTTACCTTCTGACAGCGATCCAAAGTCTGTTGATTAAATAAAATGAATTGACATCAGACGCTAATAAGCTGCGAATTACATTGCATATCAAAATAAGTATATACATATGTATATATTTGTGTTCTGTATAGGAGACAATTTGCGATGCCGTCTGTTAACAGATTTGTAGACAGGTCAAAAGAGGGCATGTGGGGACTAGGAGCAGCAAGACGAACGCCACTTAAGTATCATTATAAATGAATGATTTGCAATGCACAAGTCATGATTACAGTTATCCGCATGTATTAAACCGGTTTTATATAGCGTGCCGGAGCCGCCGTAACGTACGTAATTAAATTCAATCGTGTTGACACTAACAACAAACAGGCAAAAGTAGCAGTAGCCTCGGTTGCCTTATTTTATTGCTCTAGCAAATTGCGGTACTCGGCCAGCAACTGTTCCTCCTGCAACAACGGCAAATCCAGATAATCCTGATCAGCGTTAGTCAGGTCAGCATTCAGGCGCTTGAATGCCTGATATGCCTGCACCTCGGCCTTGGCCTTTTGCAACACGGCATCTATGAGGAAACTGGATGGTGCCCCCTCGGCTGCATGCGAAGTGGATGCTCCATTCAATTCGAAAGCCCCCCCGTTAGCAAGTTTTGTGACGCGCTCCACAGTTAGCAGCAGCTCCTCTTCGCTCTGGATGGCCTTGAGCAGAAAGTCCGTTGCCCTCTCCAAATTGTTTTCTGCGCTTTCGAGAGCAGCCCGAGCAGCTGGTTCTTTAAAGCCAAGCTGCAACAAGACAGCCAGCTGCACTCCGTCCACGCTTTGCGATTCAGGCAACGAAGCACGCAGCTCGGCGAAATTAGTTTGCAGCAGCTCCACCTATGGTGATTAAATATAAGCTGAGATATCGAATCTAAAGCTGAGGCAGCTGCTCACTTACTGCGCGTGTTACATCGTTTTCGGTTCGTCGCAGCGCTGCAGCCGCCACGCGCCGCTCGAAACCCATTTCGGTGAGAGTGCATACACTGCGAGGATTCACCCAGTCACTGTCCTGTGTCGCCTGCTTGGCATAACGTCGGTGCAAGGCCCGCTCCTCCTTCGATTGCTTGCGAGCGTCAGAAAGCTGCTGCTTGCGCTGTTGAATATACTGCACTGCTTGCTCCACGTTGCCCGAGCAGGAGCGCAAGGCGAGGCGTGCCTCACTCACCTCGAAACCCATCTCGACGAGCAGTAGCAACTGCTCGTCGTTGACCTTTAGCTCACTTAACACAACGCCAGCTGCCTCCAAGCGCTCGTAGGCGGCGTCTCGCTGATTCTGATGGTAAAGCACGACGCCCTGGAGCAGCTGTAGCCGCATGATGAGCGCGCGCTCTGGACAACCGCGACCCTTGAGCGCATAAAGACGCGCATAGTTCTCACCGTAGCTACGTTTGAAGCTACGCTCACAGATGCTCAAACGACGATCGGCATCGGGCAGCTGAGCGATATTCTTCAAGCACATATAGCACCAGACAATGTCCAAGTTGAGCAGTGCGTAATTATCCACAGACTCAAGGAACTTGGAATCACACGCACTGAACTGCTCATCCGCTTCTAGGAGCAACAGAAGCGCCTCCTCGTAGTCGTCGCGTTGCATTGCAGCGCGCGCCTTTTCGCAGTAGCCCAAACCTGTTAGCAAAGCGCGATTCTCGTTTGGCGGCAGAAACACCGGATTGCCATCCTGATCTTCCATCTGAAAGGAGGTTACATACATATGCGGCAAATGCAATGTCAGCTTGGCAACCTACCTCCATAAGCTGGCTTTGGGATGCCACCACCGCCTCTACATCCGCTTTGATCTTCCCGATTCTCTCATGCAAGGCGCCATTTTGGTCGTCCCGTTGCCCAATGATCACAATGAGCTGCTGATTGTTCTTCAGCTGCTGTGCAGCGAGCGTTGCATTCGGCGAGATGATGTGCCCCGCTGCAATGCACTTAACGTCATAGGGGTCGCCCAGCTCCAGCTTGGCCGCAATCAGCTGCTGCAGTTTGGAGCCCAGCTCGTTTAGGTCACATTTGATGTCTACTATGCTAGTGGTGCCATTGTGATTGCCCACGCGTCGCACCTTGAACGTGGCGAGACCCGTTTCGGTGAATTCTCGACGCGCTGCCAACTTACGCAGAGCGTTATCCTGCAGCTCGGTTATCACGTATTTGCATCTTAAGGCGTCGATTCCCAGGTCGACACTGAAGTCCTCGGCTAACCGCTGCGGGCAAAAGTTAAACATATCACCGTAATTTTGATTTGGATGGATGATGCACTTACTTCAATTGAGGCCTCAATACTGCCCAAGCCATCGGAATAGTATGGTTCCTCCCAAAGTTTGATGCCCTGGGACTGCAGGCGCGCTCGCACCTGGTTGAAGATGTTATCTATCTGTGACATCAAAACGTTCAAGCCTCAACTGCGTGCTGCAAGTAATGACAGTATTTCGCTATTTATAATAAAACTGTGAAATTAAAAGTAAATATGTGTGTGTAATCCCATGATTCTGTTAAACTGTGTACTAAGTCTTTTAACATTCATGTATTCTCAAGTCACGTCACAAAGGAAAGCGAAAACGCAACATCATTTGGAATTGCTCTCTATCACCACATATGTATATATTTATGTTTACCACCCACAAAAGTTAAGCATCTCTCACAAAATAGTGCGTATTATTGTTTTGATTCTATACCGATAGCTCTTTTATAGCGATAGCATGCATATTTTATCCGATATATCGATTGGGACGCAAACAGCATTTGTCAGTGAATGTAGATTTGTGGCGTTTGTACTCAAAATATAATGTGTCCACGCAACATAAATCTAATTAATGTACATACATGTACATTAAAAAACAATGATTATTCTTATTTTCATTATTTACCGATAGCTCTGCTGCAGCGATAGATGCACAATTTTATACGATACATCGATGAACACGCAAGCAATTTGTGACAGTGATTACGGATTTGCGGCGATTGTATTTAAAATATATTTTGCTCTTCTCAACACAAATATATATTTATGTCAGATTTGATAGATGTTTGGCTCAAAAGCAATAGTTATGTTTTCGGCTGTTCATGAGCAGTACATATGTATATTATTATGATTCTACTGATAAAATTCCATTATAGGCAATGTTTCTTTTAGACAAACGCTCAATCGAGTTTTAAGCGCGTCTGCAGTGTCACGCTTGGCCGAATGCAGGTAGGCTGTGCGCAGATGGCGCTGCTACTGCTGTCAAAGCTGTACACCTTATGGTGGTGTCTACAGTGTGCTGCAGCGTCCAAAAAGTTATTTATCAAACGCTGGCCGTGCCGGCAAGAACAGGCAGAATTATCAGTAAGATGTGCATGATGAAATAGAAAAATTATTGTGATTGAAGCCATAGCGGAAATCTAGAACTGAGAACTAGAACGTCTACCGATGCGCGCAAAATAGCTAGTGTCTAACATCGAAACGGAATGAAACCCAAGCAAAAGCCAACTGCTGCTACCGCTGCTGCTGTTTCTTCCACTGCGGTAACCGTTGCCGGCCTCAGTCGTCTGACATCCGTTAGGCAGCGAAGCAAAGAGGAAGAGACCAGATTAAGGCTGCGCCAGACGCAGCCGCAGCCGCTGCTGATATGTGAACGTGAAATGAAGCATGAGGCGGCTAGGAGAGAGAGGGAAGCGCAGGCACTCCAGAAACGCGATGTCCCACTAAGGCGTCCAATTGTAACACCAACCGCGCCGAAATCGAAACCGACAGCGAAGCCAGCGCCAAAACCACTGGCGAAGCCACCGGCGAAGCCGATGGTGAAGACCACGCCGACGACGAAGCAGACGCCGAAGTCGATACTGAAGCCGACGCCGAGGCCAATGCAGAAGCCGACGCAAGCGCCGAGGCTGACGACAACGATACAGGGCTCAACGCCCAAGCCCAGTTATGACAAAGGTAAACAGAAGGCTCCTGGAGAAGGCAACCAGGCAGGGTCCCAGCTCCACACACAAGCCGGTGGGGACGCTAACGTACCCATTGGACAACACACTGGCTCTGACTCTGACAAGGACTCAGACTCCGAGGATGAGGAGACAACAAAGCTGCGTCGGCAGCTGGAGCATTTTTCACAGCAGTCCAAGCTGGAATTCGAGCGAGAGTTTCGTCAGTGGTTGGCACAGGAGGGTATCGAGAATAGAATGCACACGCACCTGCGCACGGAGCTTATCAAAAGCTTCAATAGCAGCTCGCTTGGTAAGCAACGCACTCTGCGTGATTGCATATCTATTCCATATCATTCTCTCTCTATTCGTCAGGCAAGCTGCTGACTCGACTCTCGTCGACCTCCGCACAGGTGAGTCAGCAGCAGAACTTCCTGCTGATGTCGCCCTTAGGTTTGGCTCTGCACACGCTCGTTGCAGAGTTTCTCTATGAGCAGAATTGCCATTACACGCTCTCCGTTTACTGCAGCGAGATGCCGCACCGCCATGCACTGCCCGACTTTGACAACAGCGTCCAGTTTCGCTTTAGTGAGCAGGAGCGGCAGCAGCTGCTCTCTGCAGTGCTTGGCGAAACGCAGCGGGAGCCTCAGCCGCAGCTAGAGCTCGAGCAAACAGTGCATAAGACCTACGACATAACGCAACAGTCGCTGCTGCTCGCCCTGGTTCAGACCTTGATAAGTGTGCGCCGTACGGTTGTTCAACAGGTCAACGAGTCCACGATGACACCAACGGCAGGCCAATTGGAGGAAGGCACGCAAACAGAGCCGGTAGCATGTTTCTCGAACAGCCCGGATGTGGACACCACTGGGCTGTACCAGGCCGAGGAGCTGATTGTGGCTGCCGATGGACGCACTGTCTTCATTGGAGAGCGCGTCTCACAATCGCTGAATGGCGTGGACGAGGAACTGTCGGACTTAATGCACTTTATCAATGAGCTCTGCAAATCCTGTGTGCCGCCCATCGAGGTCATCTCCAGAAAGGCGTTTGACCAGTTGCTGAAGAAGGAAATGCTGGAACGTCAGCGCCTCCAGGGTATTGGACAAATACTGGGGGTCGGGGAGATGGCCGTAAAGCTGCCCGAGCTCCCAGAGCAGCCGGAACAGGAAGAGCTAGAGCCGGATGAGGACAAAAACACAGTGCAGTCCCCGGTTGGCCCCATTCAACTGCCGGCAGACTTGCCCTCTGTGCCAAAGCTGCCGCAATTACATGTGGAGCAGGTGGGTAGCCTGGCGACGGTGCAGTTGATTTTGCAAAAATACCAACAGCAGGCACCTCAGGACTCCAGCACCCAGGACTGCATTCACACAAAACTAGATAGGCTTGGGGCAATGGTAGGTGAGCTCGCGAGCTGTGTGCAGTCGCTGAGTAATGTTCTCAACCTGGCCATGGAGCAGGAGTATACCGTGGGCAGGCGCAAGGGCTTCCAGCAGGGCTATCGCGAGGGTTTCTCCCATGGGCACTACATGGGCGTCCAGGAGGGTATGAAGTGGCAGCGTCAACAGAGACTGAAGGACAGATCGTCCCAAACCAAAAAAGCGCCACCACCGCGCAGAGTGCACACAAGTGCCACTCAAACGGAAAGCGCACAGCAACGGCACGCAGCTACCAGTCCGAGGCGCAGAGCGCAGAGAGACTCTCGGGATGTCGCTAGCCAAACAGCTGCAAGTCCTCCCGAAACAGCTGTGGCTTCACGCAGCTACGAGCAGTGGATCTATGAGATGCTACACAGTCGCAGCGGTATGATCTTCCTGGAACGCGTCGAGCTGTCGCTGAACAAGGCACTGGAGCAGCAGAAGCACCGTCTGGATGAGCTCTTCGAAGTAAAGATGCGGCATCATGCGGAGCTGACGCGCCTCAGTCGCAGGCAAAACTCCTGGCGTGTGCGTACTCCTCCTATGCCAATATCTTGTATACCTAATTTTACTTAATTTCATTACAGACGCTCTGCCGACATGTCGAGCGCGACTCACAGTCTACGGAAGCACGTGAGCTTGTGCAAAAGATATTCCGCCTGCTCGAGCGCTACGAGATGCATCATCGGCTGATTGCGGAGAAGATACAGCAAACGGAACTAGCCGCCGAGCAAACGGCACGCATTCAACCCGTTTGGACTGATGAAGAAGCCAGTGTGCACAGCCGTCCTGCTGCGTCCACGACTAATTCGCATCCTGCGCCACCGGCTGGATCTGTCTCTGCACCGCCTCTTCATAATCTACTAGACTTGACTGTTGATGATACTGCTGCTCCTACTGTCGCTACTGCACCTGCTGCTCCTACTGCTGCTGCTGCTTCAACTTCTTCTGTACCTGTCTCAGCTCCTGCTCATCCAGGGAAACCCCAACAGAACAGTGTTGCCACCAACACCTGTACCCAAAGCAGGACACACAAATCCGACGCCAGACCACAAGATATCTCTAGTTTCAATGAGGCACTACTTAGCGCCAAGTAAGTTGATCCCATTTCGTGTAAGTTCTTATTGACTCTGACTCCCATCCATAAAGAAATCGCATGCTGCAGCTGGAGCAAGAGAGCGATCTGCTGGAGCAGAGTTTCCTGGATTATTTGGAGCGTGCGCGTGTCCAGAAACAGAAGATCAACATACGTGCCAGCTGTGCCAGTGAGCGCCAGCAGATCCATCACACCTTGGAAAACATTCGCGAGTGGCAGCGACGCATTCGCTGTGACGATGTCAACCTGACTGTAGCGTTGCCATCGGCACCTTCGCCCATCACCAGCAGCTCAGAAGTGGACCAGGAGAACTATCAGTTCACCAATGCCATTGCCGTGGCCAGGCGTAAGCTCTTCTCAGAGCTTCAGTCAACTTCAGGAACAGCAACAGGAGCAAGGACGTCAGCAGCACCAGCATCAATAATGTGTCCGGAGCTGGATCTGGAAGCATCAGCGCTGGCGAATGAACGAACAACTATAGCTGACCAGGTGCAGAACGAGACGCAGCATCTGATGAACCGCGTAGAGGCGACACTAGCGCGAGTCTGCAAGCCCGGCAGCCTGCAGCTGTTAACCGCCGAAGAACAGCTCGGCAAAGCACTGGGGACAGATCTAGTCAGCAGCAGCAGCAGCAGCACGCTCACCTCTCTGGCAGATGCGAACGCCAATCGAGGCGACGGGCCGGTGACACCGCCTGCCAGACGCAAATTGCAGCGCTCCATGGCTAGATTGCATCAGCTGTTTGGTGCTCAGGTAGTAGCACAAAGCCCAGCCAAGTTCGATGACTTGCCTTTGACCAAAATGAAGACAATAACACGTCCTTGGAGTGCGCCCACAAGTATATTGAACACCAGCTGCACAGCCACTGCTTTGGCCCATCGACCTCATACTGCGCCCAGCTGCCGAACGGAGCTGCCTGCAGCCACGACTGCCGGAACCAATCTTTTGGGGCTGTTGGACGCAATCAGCGATGTTGGCAACACGACGACCAACTCAAGCAGCCTGGCCAGTAGCCCGGACACCCCCCCCATAGCCATGCGGGAGGTGTACGCCCAGCTGGTAAGCAGCATCTCATCCGCATCGCACGCGTCATCCAGCTCGCCGCCGTCGCATAGTCCTGAGTTCTGGAGACGCATGAATCTGTGATGAAATGTAGACGTTTGCTTTGGTAGACATGTTTGTGGTATTGGAATCCGGCAATCGCGTCTAACAAAGCAATCGTCCCCAGTCCCATTCTCCTCTAACCCAATGAAGACTGAGGCAATCGTAGATACATATACATTTACATATATATATATATATATATATATATATATATATA